GAAAACAAATGAATCCTGACCCGACTCTCAGTTCTTATACAAAAAGGAACTAAAAATGGATCATGGCTTTCAATGTAAAAGAGCAAGCTAAAAACTTTTAGAAAGGGGCCAGAGCTGTGGCACAGTGAGTTAAAGTCCCTGGCCTACAGCGCCAGCATCCCATATGGATGCCGGTTTGAGTCCCTGCTGCTCCTCTTCTGATCCAGCTCTCTGCTATGGCCTGGGAAAGCAGCTGGAGGATGGCCCAAGTGCTTAGGCCCATACACCTGCATGGGAGACCCAAAAGAAGCTCCTAGCTCCTGACTTCGGATTGGTGCAACTCCAGCCATTGCGACCATCTGGAGAGTGAATCAGCAGATAGAAGACCTCTCTCTCTCTTTCTCTCTCTCTCTCTCTGCCTCCACCTCTCTGTAACTCTGCCTTTCAAAAAAAAAAAATCCTTTTTAAAAAGACAAAACTTTCAAGCAAACTACCCTGGTACTCAGTGGTCGCCCTCTGGGCAGGCATCCCAGAGGAATGAGAACTTAGGTTCACACAAAGCTCAGCACCCAAAGACTTGTAGCAGCCCTGGACTACGCATGCCTGTCAGTGAGCGAGCGTTCAGACAAATGGTGATGCACTCCACTGTGGACCACTACTTTGTGATAAATCCAAGACCTCCCCGCCCCATCCCTGGGGGAATGTCCTGAGAATTACGGTGAATGAAAACACCAATCTCCAAAGACTACAACAATGTGATTCTATTTGTATAGCATTCTTGAAAGGACAAAAAGCTACAGAAACAGAGGTGATGAGTGGTGTCAGGGGCTCGGGGTGGAGGCAGGTGGCGGAGAGCAGGTGTTGGCTGCAGAACGACAGCCCCAGAAATACTGGTGGAGATGCACGTGACAGTGAACGCAACCCCTTGCGATGCTGTGCTGTAGTTCTGCACAATGCTGGGCTGAGAGAGAGGCTGGGTAAAGATCATGGTCAATCTCTCTGTATTATTTCTTATATGCACGTGAGTTTACAGTGGTCTCATGATCGAAAGCTATTTAATAGACAGCGGAGAACGATGCTGTAAAAAAAGTGGGAGGGACTGAGCCCAGGAGGCACAGCGGGGCACTGACTAAAGAGAATGAGTGAGAAAAGGACACAAGTGGAGGAAGCAAGCTGGCGGGAGAGAGGCCAGGAAAGGAGATAAAGGCGACAGGGTGGGTGCTGGGGAGAAGGAGCAGGCGACATGCAAAGGAAACGGCCACACGGCCACACGGGGCAGCTTCCGGGGTCGTCACCCCGCGGGCCCTGCTCTTCCCGTTCCCTTGCTGCTCACCTGGGCTCCCCGCTCCCAGAAGCCATGCCCGGGGCCTCCTCCACCCCTCTCCAGCCCCTCTGGGTGTTTTGCAAGCCCTACACAAAGCCTCCCTGGTTCCTCTGCCTCTGCCTGCTGTGGCCTCGGCACATCTCCCTCATGGTGTCTGCCGCTGAAGCAGGCACTGATTCCTGGGCCGGTACAGCCCCTCTGCGTGAATGACGCCCATCTTCTGTCTCAGGGGCGGCCTGCACCAGAGAACCTCCATGCGTGCATCTGAAAGGGTACCGTGAGATTTTGAGCTCATCTGACTTGGGTGAGGGAGGTCTCCGAGCCCTGGTGTCCAGCTGGGGGAGACACAGGCACAGCGCCAGGCATCATCTGTGGTCCTCTTGCCCCCCTCCCCCCCATACTTTCCTTTTCTGAGCAGGAGGAGATAGTGGAGAATGCTGGCACTGGGGCCACCGTGTTGCAAGATCAGGAGCCCGAAATGGGAGAGAAGGTGTGGGAGTGGGCAGCTCACCCGGCCCCATACAGCCAGGTCAGGAGATGGCAAGGAGTCTGCAGCTTCATCTCACTCTTCCTGCACCCACCTCCATCCCCTTCCCGGCTACCCTGTCCCCGGACCCTCTGCCCCCCAATAGGGGTTGACCCCTGATGTCCAGAAAGTGCTGTTGCCACCTGCCACCTGGTCAGGTGATCCCTGACCTTTGCCCCCAGCCCGCTCTGGTCTGGAAAGATAATGGAACTTAACATTTAAGGCCCGGCCAGCATCTCCAGGGTCATGTGCGGAAGGTCTGGCTTTGACATTTAGCTTAACACTGCTCTTGGCGACGGTTACTGTCATCCCCGGCTCTGTAGACCAGAATAGCTCCCTTATCTGAATGTCAAGGTGGGAGGGAGTGGATGGCAGGGAGTCCAGCCCAGCCGGCCCTGGCTTTAGGCAGTGGGGCGCTCTCAGCTTCTTTATAAAACAACTTCAGAGAAAGCCACTCTACAAGTCTGTAAAATGCACTCAGGCCTTTTGACTCAAATGCCGCACTACAGTCCTGTGTGTTTGAATGCCTCATCTTCCTGCTTTTAGAAAAAAAATGAAAAAATGCCTCCCTGGCTGGCAACCAACCATCTAAAGAGCCATCTCATGATAGTTTCTCTTCTACATACCCTGCCAGCTCCCAATGGCCGCTGGAGCTCAGATGCACAGCGAACATTTCATCTAAACCTGGCTCCCTTGAATGACCTGGTGGGATGCTGGGCCCCCTGCTTCCTCTCCCTTGTCCTTCCACCTCCCACCCCAGTAATTGGCATAGAAAATGCAAGCTTTTGTTAGCATTCTCCTAAATAGGAAACGTAACCTTGCCCACACAGTTACATTCCAAGGTTTTCAACACTGAATTCGCCCTGGCACACGCCAGGTGATCAGTTGCCTGAACAGATTTAAAACAGAATAAAAAAAAAAAAAAAAACAGAAGCAGAAGCAGTTCCCACGTATCTGAACACACAGCACCCATGCTCATGACTTCAGCCGCCTAAGGCATGGAGGACGGGCCATGTTAACAGAGAAAGGGCCTGGAGTACAATACTGCAGTTGTTTGGCCCCTGCTTGGGGTTGGCGTCATCACAGGTGACTACAGCGGCCGTAAGAGTCTCCCCGATTCCTGGGCAAGAAATCCACCCAGGCCCGTGCAGAAAGCCCAGAGCCATCTTGCCTGGCAACTTGCGCCAGGGGCAGGGAGGCAGAGGGAAGCGAGCCGCAGGGCCCAGGATGTGCGTGCAGCCTTAGGGAAATCCATGGTGGGGAATCCCACCGAGAGCTGTCTCCAGCCCAGGGACGGAGCTCGGCTCTGGGAACCACTCTGGGCAGAGCGAGCGGCAGGTGCGTCTCTCTGCTTGCCCTTTGTCCCGCCTCCTCCTCAGGGGCACTGCTCGCCGGCTGGAGCCCACTGCCATCTGTCTCCTGCAGACCTGCTGCCTGAGCAAGAAACCGTGTAAGGGAGTAACGCCAGCTGTTTACAATGGCTCTCGCGGAGGCTAGGAAATGCCCAGCCCCAGTGGTTGGGCCCATTCTGTTGGAGGCCAGGTTGTGCGATCCCAGTGGGTTGCGGTGTGGGCAGGTGAGTTCCCTGTGTGCTCTTAGTCCCTTTCAGTGGTGGCCCTGATGCTGTCCTTCCAAGCAGCTCACTCCTGCACCCCTGGACTCCCATCGAGACTTTGCGTTTTGCCTTGGAGCAAGATATGAGTCTCAGGTTGGCTCCACCGTCCGCAGTCGCAGCCGGCTGGCCCAGCTCTGCAAGTCAGAGTCACTCCAGGGCCTCCTCTCTCCAACCCCTAAGCCACTTCTTCCGCTGTGTTCAGATTCTAGGAAGCCTGGGCCCCCATTCAGCCCACTGCCGGGATTTGCGCCTAGATGTGAGGAAGAGGCATGGATCGGGGAAGTGGGGAACACTTTCAGGGCTAGTGATTGACAGTGAGAAGACCCCCCCTGCCCCAGAGGGCAGGATATAGAAGTTGACAGTGCTGCCACTTAGCACGGAAGAACTCGTGAGCTTTCGTCTCATCCACACACCAGAGAAGAGAGCGCTGCCTTGCAGGACTGGACTCACTCACATACAAAAGTGCAGCCTGCACATGGCTCCCTGAGTATGAGCTTTTCCCCCTACCCCTCTCTCTCTCTCCCATGGAAAGCACTTGGTGAACCACACAGCCCTCTCACTGTGTGGCTGTTCACGAAGACCAGGTACGTCTGGGAGTGACACCCAGCTGACAGCCTCTGCTTACGAGCTGTGTGCTGCAGGCCAGTGACATGGCTTCTCTGGGCTGCCAGGTCTCACCTGTGGAGTGAGGATGGCAAGATCTGCTTCCTTGAAAGGATGACAAGAGAGTGAAAAGCGGTTGGCAAGCGTGCATGCCCCCGGCCATCTGCTCCTGCCGCTGCTGTTGACCAGGGCTCTCGGAGCAGGTGCTGAGCTGGCCTTGTCTGCCTCGACGTGTTTGGGGGATGCGCTGGAACTCTGAGATTCAGACCAGGTCCGAGAGCACCCCCCTCCTCCCGGACCCAGGGCGGCTGCACAGCCCCTGGTGCAGGAGAGCCCTGTTGGAAGGGAGGTGGGGGCAGAACCAGGGTCCACAGCTGTCCGGGGGAGAGGCACTGCGCCGAGGAGAGGGGGGATAAAGAGGAGGTCGCCCCTCTCTGTTCCCGTGCCCGCACGCCCGCCTCGCCTCTCCCAGCACTTTGATAGATGTTGAAGAATAGCTAGGGAGGCACGCAGGAAGTGACCCGGGCAGAAATAACAAGGCCGTGCTTCCAGCTTGGCCCCACTTAAAAGAGAAAGCAAGAAGACGCTGAAGACAGCAGGCGCGGGGAGCCGCCGCCCCCATCCTGTCCCTCTGTCTGATCGCAGGTAGAGCCGCCGCCGCCCAGGGCAATGACGCCCCCTCATCCCCCAGCCGCCACCGCCCCGGCCTCTCCCGCAGCCAGGTCCTGGGGTCTCCCACCAGCGGCCAGATGCTAGCAGCCTCCCAAGCGCCCCAGGCCACCGCTGGCTGCGGGCACCGCGGATTTCCCTGCGCAACTTTGGACCCGCCCCAAGCCTTTGCATATCCCCGCGGCCCCCTAGGTGGACCAGGGGCCAGAAGCGAGGGTCAGTGTCTCGCACAGCCCGGGAACCCGGCAGAAAACCCGGGGATGCAACTGGGGGGTGCATCTTACCGGCCGCGATGGGAGCTCCGCGTCCCGCCGGTGCGAAACTTCGGCGAGGGGCGCCAGCGCTCAGGGCTTGCGAGGGAACTCTGGGGCCACCGCCATGACCCGGCGCAGTGGCCGCAGCCTAAGGTTTCCCCTGCGCCTGGGGTCCTGCGGCCAGAGGCGGCCCGGCCATCCTGTCCCTTCACCGCCAGCCCCTCAGTCACTCCCTTTTCTTAGAGCAGCCAGAGGCGGGCTCGCGCGCGCTCTCTCTCTCCCTCCCTCTCTCTCCCTCTCCACCTCCTTTCTCCCTCCCAGGACAAATGAAATCTCTGGGTAACATTGCGATTTAAAGGGCCCCGGGCAAAGGCTATGGGGCGGGGTGGGGATGGGGCGGGGGCTCCCTGGGTTCCGGGGACGCTACCGGAGGGAGGAGGAAGGCAGAGAGAGAGAGAGAGAGAGAGAGAGAGAGAGAGAGAGAGAGAAAGAAGAGGAAGAAGGAGGAGGAGGAGGAGGAGGAGAGAGAGAGAGAGAGAAGGGGGAGGAGAGAGAGAGAGAGGGAGAGAGGAGAGAGAGGGGGAGAGAGGAGAGAGAGGGGGAGAGAGAGAGATGAGAGAGAGAGAGAGAGAGAGAGAGAGAGAGAGAGAGAGAGAGAAGTGTAAGCAGAGCTCCACTCTTTGCCCCAGACTGGTGCCTCACTTCCCTGCTATGCCCTCCTGGGCTGGTGGTGCTGGGACCTGTGTACATGGGCACACACATGAGTGCTGTGTGTGTGTGGGGGTGCCTATATGTGTCCACGCGTGTGAGTGTGCACGTGTGTATATTCGTGTGTGTGTGTGTGAGTGCCTGTGCATATGCGCCAGCACCCCATGCATGCATGCGAGTGTGTATGAGTGTGTGCAGGTGTTCAGGGCGTCCGATGGAGCAGACAGAAAGCAGGAAGAAAGTCCTACAGCAGGAGGCGTGTCTCAGAGCCTGGGAGGGGCTGCTCTGTCACTGTGCATGGTACTGGGGGGGGGGACCCAGCAGATGGGGGCATTCCTTCAGAAAGTCAGGGGAGCCACAGTCCTGGCACAGAGTCCACACCCCTACAGACTGGGCTGAGGGGCTACAGACTACAGACTGACCTGCCGGCTGCAAGTGGAGACGGTCCAAGGGCAGAAAACAGATCTGCCATGTCCTGGCTCTCTGTACACCCCTGGCTCTTCCTCCCAGCAGCCTGTGGGTTGGAATAAATGGGACATGTGCCCTCCACTGCAAGACAGCAGCAGCCTGAGGCAGAGACAGCTGGACGCAGCCCCAGGCCTGGGCAGAGCTGCTCCGGCAGGGCCCTCTCAGCCTCCAGCCCTTCCGCTCTGGACTCATGCCTGCCCTGGGGAAAGGTGGTTCCCTGAACTGATTCATAATCCATGTGAGCTGCAGGAGAGGCAGCTGGCAAGGGGACCCAGCAGCCTGGGGTGGGCGAGGCAGAGGATGCACAGGTGTCCCCGAGCCTTCCTTATCTCTGACTGCTCTGTCTGTGGTCTGTGGCCCAGCCCTGGGGTTCTACACCCCCCTGCCAGCCTGTGACTTCTCCTCCATCTGGGGGCAGGCACAGCTCTCTTAAGTGTGTGGTATCCCCAGTACTTGGCACTCAGCGAGTATTTATTAAGTAAAATTCACCCACAACAAGAAAGCTGCATGGTTTAACTACAAAGAGGAATACTTGTCCCTGAGACGGGCATGTACCAACCTGTCCCTGCCCTGCTGTCCTGCTGTCCGGTGCCTATAGGACCCCCCTGCCCTCACCGTGGGCCTAGTGCATGGAGCAGTCCTGGGCACCCCCTTCTTCTCTCTGCAGAGGCGCCGAGTGCTCCGTGTGGCCGCTGTTGGCCCAGCCAACCAGGACATCTCTCGGCCCCCTTAGGGGACTGAGCCTGTCTTGGTGCTCACTCACAATATGTTGGTTGGTCTTACAGTTTAACACCTGGAGAGGAAAATTCATATTCCCTTATCTCCTCATTCTTGGGAGAAGGCTCAGCTGTGCAGCTCTCGGGCCCAGAACCCATACCCACTGCAGTTCTGAGCTCCGATGAGGCACCCCGTCCTGGGGTAGCAGTGGCCTTGGGACTGTGTAGAAAGAGCCACCAGGTCTTCCTTCTGCAAAGATGGGTGGAGCCCAGCTGGCTTTAAAGCAAGACCTGAAGCAATCTGGGAAATTTGATCTTGCAAACACTCTCTCAGGGCTGGGATCCTGGGTCATGGGGCCGAAAATGCGAGTCCAGGAGACCAGGGGGCACTCTGGAGCTAAGGGGCCGTCGCAGACCTGGGCGAGCCCTGCCTTCCCATGGCCGCTTCTCCCAAGGAGGACAGACAGGCTAGCAGACTCAAGGGAAGAGCTGCTCCGCCAGGTCTGGAAGGCGCTAAGCATGCCTTTCATTGCGGAAGTCTAGGGGAGCGTGCTGGAAGGATCCAGGCGTGTGACCCCTCCTCACCCCCGCTATCTGCCTCTCTGACCTTCTTTCATCAAACAGACCACCCGTTCTCCATTGGCGCTTTCTCTTTAGAATATGACACTTACAGGAAATTATTTTTCTCCTATTTATGGAAATTCCATTTGCATTTATGAGACTGGTAATGTCTCATAAATATTTCCTACCAGATAAAATATTAATTAAAAGAGTTTCTTGAGTTATACTCTGAAATTCTAACTGAATCTCTTCTAAGACAAATATTTTAAGTATTTTTTTCTCGTATGAGGAGAACTCCTCATACATTACTTGGTTATGGTAATGAGCTCATCTGTAAACAGCATAGATCTATCAATTAATGAGATATTGCTTTGTAATACTTAACAAATAATTGTGCAGCTGCAACTCAGTTTAAAAACAAAGCAAAACACTGCCTGTGCTGTTGACTACAGCCTGGGTCACTTCTTCCCTCAAGAGAGAAACAGCAACTTCTATTTGGTCTTTTTGTCTCCCATGGTTTCTTCTTATTAAAACCAAACACACACACGCACACAATCACATACACAAGCCACATACATATACCATACACACACCACACATGCACATAAAACACACACCACACATGTATGCACACCACGCATAACCACACATATGCATGCATTTATCACGCAGATACATACAACACACACACACACCACACACACACACCACACATGCACATACACCACACACCACACACACATACCACACACATCATACACAGCACATTCACAAATACATGCACACACATAAACACATACATCATACACGTATACACACTGCACAATACACACACCATTCAGATACAGTACACACACATACTACATACATACATATGATTCACAACACACATACCGCACACACACACACACCCCTTCCACACTTGTTCAGTCTGTGGATATGGATCATCTTACGTAATTCCCCCTGCAACTGTTTCAGTGTTCCCAACTTCAGCTACTGTGATCAATTATTTTTTAAAAAAATATTACCTGAGAGAGTCCAGAAGTAAACAGCTCATTGCCTGCTGTTTTGAGTAGGGTGATGTCATCTCATGCCATCCCACTCCCTCCAGCCCATAATGGAATCCCCCTTGGTCCAGTGTATCCACGCTGTATATGCTGCCCGCCCGTTAGTCTCTCAGTGGCTGCCTTGGATACCAGATCGACTGGCACAGTAGAGCTCACGTTCGAATAGACCTTTTAAGTGAAAGTAAAATAATGGCCCCATAGTTCAAGGCCAGGGAGGCTGGAGATTTAGATATGCCAAAAAAAAAAAAGAAGCTGTAAAGAGCTTCCTTTGTGTGGAAAGCAGAAAGTCCCCAACTTCACAAGGACAGCATCCCGTGCTGAGGTGGCTAAGATCCACGGGAAGAACAAATCTGTGAACACACGAACAAGGAAAAAAATGTTGTGCTCACTTTTCTGTCGCACCTGTAGTGACAAAAGGTTCAGCTACAGTACACACATCAGGAGTGCTTCATAAAGAGGGGTGAGACATTCAGTTGTTTGTCTGTGTAGCAAAAAACGTCCCAGACGCAGAGTTCCACACTGCCAGAGGTTTCAGGCATCCTGCGTGGGGTCCCCACGGAGGTCAGAGGTTCCCCCCCTGCCCCGACCTCTGCCAGTGCTTCTGTATTCCCAGCCTCTTCTGGTAGAAGAAAGCCTCCTATGTTTGCAAGACATAGACAGGTGCTAGGAGAGAGACCATGGAGTGCCCCGGGGGGCCTGGGTCCACCATGCCTCACATCTACTCGGGAGGGGCAGTGGATGTGCAGGCAAAGTGAGTGGAGGCATTAACTACGTGGGACCTCACTGGGTCGGTGACAACTGGACGGTGAGCTGTGAGCGGCAGGAATGCTAACAGAGTTGGGAGAGAGGAGCTGAGGCTCACTTCTGACCCCAAGGCCAAGGAGAAGGGGCTTCCGGACCAAGCCAGGCAGGGAGACTGGATTTGAATATGCAGAGAGGGGCAGAGCTGTGTACCATGGCTGGGGGTGGGCAGTGGGCAGGGGCCAGAAGGAAGGCAGGGGTTGCCAGGGGGGATTGGGGAGGAGGCAAGGAGGGATGGCAGTGGCTTCAGCTGGCTGAGTGCCTACTCTGCCCTGAGCTCTGCAAGGTATTGTGGAAGTCCTGGCTGTGATTTTGCTAACAGCCTTGTGAGGGAGCTAGCGAGCCGGCAGCAGTGTCTTCTCAGTGGCAAGTTATTAACAGTGCATTGCAGAGCTGGTGTAAGGTCCCAGTTTTGTTAGATTCCAAAATCATGTGCATGGTTATGGGCTAAGTTGTGTCCCCCATCCATACACTGAAGTCCCAGCCCCCAGCACCTAAGAAGGTGACTGCATTTGGAGACAGGGCCCGTGAAGGGGTGGCTACATTCAAATGAAGTCATTGGGGCTGATGCTGTGGTGTGGCAGGTAAAACTGCCACCTGCTGTGCCGGCATCCAAAACTGGGCACTGGTTTGAGTCCCAGCTGCTCCACTTCTGATCCAGCTCTCTGCTATGGCCTGGGAAAGCAGTGGAAGATGGCCCAAGTCCTTGGGCCCCTGCACCAAGACCTTGCTCTTGGACTGCCAGCCTCCAAAGCTATGGGGAATAAATTTGTGTTATTGAAGCTGCTCGTTCTGTGGCATTTCACTAACACAGCATAGGCAGACTCATATGCTAACCATGTCACACCTCTGCCTCTTGGCAGGGCCTTGGATCCCAAGCTATGGAATCTGGACTTCATTCTGCAGATGGGAATATCATTATGGAAGACTTTTGAATTGGGAAGAATTATGAACGTCACTGAGAAGATTTCCCTGGGGGTGGATTTTGCTTGATT